TTTTTTTTTTTTTTTTTTTTTTTTTTTTTTTTTTTTTTTTTTTTTTTTTTTTAAGATAGAATTAAATTAAAATAATAAATATTGGATTTATATTTACAATTTATCCACTTTTTCAATAATTATTTTAGGTACGAAAAATCACTTTTGAAACTTGTGGAGGGTGTGATTCCTGAGTGGGGGACCTCTCCAGAATCATCAGGATAATATCCTCTACAAACCCTAAAAAGTTATTGATAATCAAAATTAATAATTCTTTTACGAGGAATGGTTCGCTTTAATTTCTCTCTTTTGATCTTGAGAAGAAAAAAAAATATATAGAAATTCAAAGCTGTTGATTTTGAGAAATTAATTTTTCTCGGAAAGTTTTTGAACGGATTATGTTTGTTCGATGATTTTCCAAGAAAAAAATGAGAGAGAGAAGCAGAAGAAATGGAATGATCGGAAATGCACAGAAAAAAGAGGTGAGAGGATGAGAAAGCGAACCTGTAACTTTGAGGCCAAGCAGCGGCATTGTAAGAACTTGGTTGATTAATGTTACGGTTATCCACTGATGAACCGGAAGACTCCGATTCGTTTCCGTCGTCGATTTCCTTTTCAAAATCTTCGTCGTCAGAACTTTCGATGTAAAAACTACGGTCCGACACGGAGTTCTTCATTTTCAAATCGAAGTTCCAATTCCTCCTCCTCCTCCTCTTCTTTCCTTCCGTTCAACTGAGAATAAATTAATCCGAATCCACTTCACCAGATTCAAATCAGAGAGAAAACACGGAGAAAAAATGTTTCAGAGAAATAAATACAACGTTAATCGTTCTCTAGCTTGAATCGCCAAACACGGAACGGAAAAAAAAAATCAACGAAAACACCTAAATCAAGGCGCCAAATGCGTCCATCAAACCACGACCACCATACTTAAAGTAAATTTCACAAGCAGAAGCCATGAAATCCGCCTACAAGTGAGTATATACGTGAAGAACGATTGACATCAATTCAAAGTCGGAAGACTCTGTTTGGCTGCCGAGAAAATTTTGGATACAGTAAATAGAAAACAGATAGAAATCCCCTGAACATCACATCCAAAGTTCACATAACCAGAAAATTAATGAAAAACACATTCACATTAACATCCGATTTCCACACAGTTCATAACCCCTACACAAAGTTGAAGAACATAATCAAATCTCACCGTGAAGTTAAGCAAGAAAATGAATCAATCCGGAGAGAGAGAAAATTAGCAGCTCTGTAGTAGATCTGTGGTCCTTTGTTCCTTCCAACAATTTATACAAAACACAGCTGCGATTCTTTCATGTTCCTGTCATCAACATTCTTCACAATTTCAGAAACATTTTAAATCAGTTGATGATGAAACTCACTCTATTTTTTTTCTATTTTCTTTTTCTCTTTCCTTTTTTGTGACAATTTTTTCTTAATTTAATTTTAGCTAAACGCCTAATCCTCATCTTTCAAATCTTATTCATAACCATTTTTATTTTTTATTTTTTAAATTAAACACCAAACACATGAATTTATTTATTTCAACTCATTTTTAATTAATTTGGAAAATAAACTATAATAAATAAAATAATATACCATCAAATATGTGCACAATCAATTTTAAATTACTGTTGGTAATTTTTTTTTTTTACTTATTGAGTTAAAACTAGTAAAAATTTACCGTATTTTTCTTTATCAATTACTATTTTTGTTGGTGAATAATAATAATAATAGCGACTAAATTATAAAATTATAAATTAATATTTTAAATTTTAATTTGAATTGAGATTGAAATTAATATTCTTTTAATAAATTAATATTTATTAAAGTTTGAACTAAAAAAAAATATTATTTTTGAATTAATAAAGTATTTATATGTTTATAATATTAATAAATCGTGTATTTTTTTTTCCATATTTGAAATATTATTTAATAAATCTTTTATGGATTTTGTTGTGGATATTTAATGGGTAGAAATATATTAATTCATATCCATCTGGATGATATCATGAGCATTACTAAATAATTTTGACCTTAAACAGATCTTTACACGTCATTAATATCAATCTTTTAAGCCCACATACGCATAGTGCTACTCATCAAATATAATTGTTATATGAAATTGCGATAAGATGGCTCCGACGTTCCAATACAGCTCAGTTATTTACTTGTCTCGAAGCGTTTCTAAAAGTTGAAACTATTTTTATACACCAATACGAGTTTATTTCAACTGTGAGATCTCATATTGGTTTGGGAGTGGAACGAATCATTCTTTATAGAACTGTGGAAACCTTTATCTAGTAGATATATTTTAAAATCGTGAGACTGATGGCGATATATAATGAGATAATATCTATTAGCGGTGGTCTTGGACTCTTGCAAATGGTATTATAGTCCGCCACTGGGTGGTGTGCCAGTGAGGTCGTTGGCTGCCAAGAGGGGTGGATTGTGAGATCTCACATCGGTTGGAGAGGTGAACGAAACATTTCTTATAAAAGTGTGGAAACCTCTCCTAAAATTGTGAGGCTAAAAGTGATGCGTAACGGGCTAAAGCAGGTAATATATACTAACGGTGGTCTCAGACTGTTACAAATAGTATCAAAACCTGACACTGGCGGTGTGCTAACGAGAACACAAGGCCTCCAAGGAGGGTAACTTGTGAGATTCCACGTTGGAGAGAGGAACGAAGCATTCATTGTAAGTATGTGGAAACCTCTCCTAAAATCATGAGGCTAATGGCGATGCGTAACGGGATAAAGCGGACAATATATGTTAATGATGGTTCAGATGGTTACAAATAATATCAAAGTCAGACACTAGGTGGTGTGCCAACGAGAACAATGAGCACCCAAAGAGGGTAAATTGTGAGATTCCGCAACGGTTGGAGAGGGGAATGAAGCATTCCTTATAAGAGTGTGGAAACCTCTCCTAAAACTGTGAGGGGCTAAGGGCGCATAACGAGCGAAAGCGGACAATATCTGCTAATAGTGGTCTCAGATTGTTACAAATGGAATCAAAGTCAGACACCGGACGGTGTGCTAACGAGAACATAAGGCCTCCAAGGAGGGTAACTTATGAGATTCCACATCGGTTGGAGAGAGGAACAAAACATTCCTTATAAAGGTGTGGAAACCTCTCCTAAAATCGTGAGGCTCACGGCGATATGTAATGGGATAAAGCGGGACAATATCAGCTAGCGATGGTTTCAGACTATTATAAATAGTATCAAAGTCAGACACTGAGTGGTGTGTCAGCGAGAACACCAGGCCCCCAAGGTAGGTAAATTGTGAGATTCCACATCGGTTAGAGAAGGGAACGAAGTATTCCTTGGTGTGGAAACCTCTCCTAAAACCGTGAGACTTCAGCAATACGTAACAATCTAAAGCAGACAATATCTACTAGTGGTGGGCTCGAGCCAACACATGTTCTTTCAACATGCACTGAATTAGAGTTCCTACGACTAAGCCACGGAAAAGTAAGGTGTACCTTGTTAGTATCGGTAGTAATTTTGAATTCTTTGAAGTTTTTCGTAACCATCACATCTCGAGAATTGCTCTCATTCAAATATAATCTTGGTTCATTTACATACCACTCATTTATTCAAAACGCTACACTGCGATCAACATCGACATCAGCATCAACATTCCAACAATAATTTCACGAAATGAAGATTCAACATTGTCATCGACATCGACATTTTAAATCTTATTTAGAGGCTATCACTATAACTAACGATTACATTAGGTTGAAAAGCGTAGGTCGGGTTTTTTTTAAAAAAAAATAAAATTTGTTTATAATTTTTGAATAAAAACAAAAATAATACAACTTGTGAAAAAAGTTGTAAACATTGCATATGCATGGCCATGATGAACACTATTTTTTCTATCTTATTTGTCTTATACTCTAAAACAATAATGCCCAATAATTTATTTAAACCAAAATATTAAAATAAAAATTTAACACCATATATTTGTTGATTCTACATTAATTCCATTTATTTATTTATTTATTTATTTTAACAAAGAAATTGATTCACGTGCGTACATTCTACGATCAATCAAATCAATAAAATATAAACTAAAAATCACGGAATGTTGAAATTAATTACAAGTTAGCCCCTGACGTTTTAAAATTGTCTATAGGTCCCTACACTTTTAAGTCTTAGTAATTTTACAAAATTTAAAATGGTTTGAATGATTTGATATAAATTTAAATTTTATGTCTAATGGGACGTGTTCAGTCTAATAGGTCCTTGAATTTGAAGGCTAAATTTGTAATTTTAAAAGTTCACACGAACCTTAAAGTTTAGGGACTAAATTTGTAATTTAATGATGTATAATTATTATCGAATAAACAACAAGAGGAATAATTGATATCCACATTTGATAATGGTTTTTTGGCTTTGTTCTTCACCCTTTTGACAAACCTAGTAAGCTCCTATTAATCAAGGATTTGTCCATTCTTTTCTAATTTCAAAATTTTCATATGTTATAAATAAATAATAATTATTATTCAACCGAGATCCCGGGATCCCCATCTAGATGACGATGAGTTACACTCATTTTAGCAATTATTCTGAAACAGAGACTAAATAAATTTAGAAAAAAAATGGTACTAAAACCATTTAAGATCCTAACAAAATGACATCAGTAGGAACGAAGCTAGAGAAAAAAATGGCACTGAAACCATTTAAGATCATATACAAAATGACATCGGTTGAAGAGAGGAACGAAGCTAGAGAAAAAAATGGCACTGAAACCATTTAAGATCCTATACAAAATGACATCGGTTGAAGAGAGGAACAAAGCATTCTTATAAAAGTGTAGAAACCTCTTCCTAACAGAGACCATTTTAGGCTAATGATGATTCATAACAACCCAAAACATACAATATCTGTAATAAAACAGATATTTGAAAACGTCGATTAAAATAAAATAATAATCGAAATAAATTTAGTGGGAAAAAATGGCACTCAACCATTTAAGATTCTATACAAAATTTGAGAGATAGGAGCAAGAACATCAAAAATGCCTATATCCAAGATGAACTTAAAAAGGGCTCTGAAACATAAATTTTCCTTTTGAATTCTCAGGCTGATTACTTTCAGCAGGATCAAGATAAAGCCAGTATCGTCTTCTTTAATGCCTTTCTGGGCTGATGAGCAGAGAAATTGCAGTGTGTTTATCTACAGATTAAGAACAGGACCTTCACTATTATCCTTGGAGTATTTTCGAAACAGAAGACGGGTCAGCTCGGCTAAACCAATTCACGAACTGTCGCGCAAAGTTGGGAAACTGAGTCCACTTTTTAGGTGGCCGACTGAAGTTGGCCATGCCCATTTCAGAATGTTTGGACCTAAGATCTGCAATATTATTAACACGCTCGATGAGTTTACGAACCCAAACGAGTACCATATGGACAGATCACAGATGAGTCATCTTGTCACATCTTACATTATTTATAAGATATGACAAAAAAAAGACTTAGAAAAAGTTGGGTTATTATAAAGTTTCCTTTGTCTAAGATGTGACGAGATAACTTTATAATAACACAAACATTCAGAATGCAGAGAGCACATGGGAACATGTGAGTACAGGCAGACACACATATGCAGGCAAAAGGGGTAAGAAGAAGAAGACACCAACCAAGGTCATATTTTTATAAGCACCGAGATTGAACGGGTGTTGGTAGCTCTGTCCAGACTTACGAGCCAACCATGCTGCACGTATTCCTTCGTAATACTGGTCGGAAGAAACACGATTTGCAGTCAGTAATCAGAGGGGGAAGGAATTCATGCTCATAAGTCCAAAATACAACTGTAGGAATCCATGTTATACCTCTATAGTTGTCATGTTTCGAATGATGAGGTAGACATGCCAGCCAAGAAGTGTTCCAAGAGTCGAGCTCAAGGAGATCATCATCACTGCGCAAATAACCTAAAACATAAAAGTTAAGTAAATCTTCTTCTCTGCAAAATTTAACCACCGACAATAGTCGTTGTAACAGCCTAAGCCCACCGCTGGTAAATATCGTCCGTTTTTAGCCCGTTATATATCGTCATCAGTCTCATAATTTTAAAACACGTCTGCTAGGGAGAGGTTTCCACACCCTTATAAGGAATGTTTCATTCTCCTCTCCAACCGATGTGGGATCTCACAATCCACCCCCCTTGGGGGTCCAGTGTCTTTGTTGGCACACCGCTCGATGTCTAGTTCTGATACCAGTTTTAACAGCCCAAGTCCACCGCTAGCAGATATTGTCCACTTTTAGCCCGTTACGTACCGCCGTCAACCTCACAATTTTAAAACGCGTCTGCTAGGGAGAGGTTTCCACGTCCTTATAAGAAATGCTCGTTCCCCTATCCAACCGATGTAGGATCTCACAGTCGTATACGGATATATGCCAGTCAAAATTTCTCTACATACCTCATGGTTATATCAGTAGCATCGAGTATGGTAAAGTTGGAAGTTAGGTTGGTTAAAGCACGGGTCATTTAAGAAAAATAAAATAGTCAATTAGGCAAGGTCCAAAATCGATGACCCAGAAGACTCCAGACTAATCTCAGTTAATGAAAACAGAGATAGGTTATATAAACAACTAACTTACATAGAAAATTTTTAAAGGAAGCGCTCCCTCAACATTCCAGTTCTTCTGAAATGCACAGCTCACAATGATGAACTATACAACCAAAGCTCAAGTTATAAGTAAAAATTTGGATTCATTGTTAAATGAAATAAATTAAACTGGAAAGGGTGTACCGTGGAATACAAGCTTGCCAGTGTCCCGTATGAGACGAGGTCGAAAAAGGACTTGTAGTTCCAATAACCGACACAGTTATTTATCCACAAACAATGATGATCCTGCATCCAGTTTAAGCTCACATGAAAAGGAAGAATAAACCACAAGCTTTCAGCTTATCCATATCCGAAATTAAAGGTCCGAGTTCAATTGTTATGCTTCAGGTACAATGGAACCTACCATCCTCAAAACACACCTTCTGCAAACTCGACAATGATGAGCCCTCGGAGGCTTGAAGGTGCTACACTTTTCACAATGCTTAATCTGTAAAGCCTGTTATTAAATCATGACGTGGAATCAATGACTAAAACACAATACAGAGTATGCAATTGAATTAATTTCTTATCTGCTTCATCAAAAAATGCCTAACATGAGAAAGATCATTTGCGGCAAAATTCCAGTTCATAAAGTTTCCAATGGATTCTAGTTCCAGATTTACTCAATAGAATAGTACCTTGAGTAACATAAATGAGTAACATAAAAGAGAGGGATTGTGTGTGATCCCACATCGGTTGGAAAGAGGAACGAAACATTCTTTATAAAGGTGTGGAAACCTCTCCTTAGCAGATGCATTTTAAAAACTTTGAGAGGAACCCCGAAAAGGAAAGCCTAAAAAGGACAATATCTGCTAGCGGTGGGCTTGGGCTGTTACAGGTTGGGATAGCCATTATAATCAGCCTAGATTGAAGGGTATATTGACAACATGTTAGTGACAAACCAGTCGTGTACTTGAGTTTCAAAACTATATGAACATTTTTGGATAAGCCGATGTATTTCCTTGTTCACCATTGCATTCGAGGATATAGGATCAAAAAGTTCACGAATAGGACAGGATAAGACTTTTCCATATGATTTCTCTGCCATTGAATAACCGTTCAATCACTATAGGTTCATTGCTTCCATGAAAACTTTGGAATGAGATCACACTAATGCGCGCAGTTATTAATCAGTGATTCAGCAATCAGCTACAGTTGAATGTTTAGCTGCATCGTTATTATAATTTATCTGACGTGCTTTACAATCTCGAACGACGTTTCTCAAGATTGTGACTCGAGCATTATGATACTATAAAGTTGTGCAATATCTTCAGCTTGAATGATACGGCTAAGATGTAAAAACATTTATATGGACAATGAAATTACATATCTTTTCAGCAACAGACGTACTAAGGAGCTAAATTAACAGAGGCCTATGGAATCTTCTTTGAGATCAGTGTATGACAAAATAAATTGTTAATCAAATAAAATTGAGGACAAAAATTGTGAGATCCCACGTTGGTGGGAAAGGAAAACGAAACATTTCTTATAAGGGTGTAGAAGTCTCTCTCTAGTAGACACATTTTAAAAACTTTGAGGGAAAAACCAGAAAGGAAAACCCAAAGAGGACAATATATGCTATCGGTGGAATTGGGCTGTTACAAATGGTATCAAAGCCAGATACTCAACGGTGTGCCAACGAAGACGCTGGTCCCCAAGAGGGGTGGATTGTGAGATCCCACATCGGATGGAGAGGGGAACGAAACATTCCTTATAAGGGTGTGGAAATCTTTCCCTAATAGACGCATTTTAAAAACCTTGAGGGGAAACCCATAAGAAAAAGCCTAAAGAGGACAATATTTGCTAGCGGTGTGCTTGGGCTCTTACAAAGATCATTTGTTGGGATTTTGGTGGCCGTCCCGTCCCACTTTAAATATATGGAAAAACCAAATGGAAACAACAAAGAAAACCTGATGAAATTGATTCTTAACATCTGCTAACAAATAGAGTTAATAAGAATTCTTCCCTGAAAAAGAGTGATATCAATCCATCTAATTGAACTCCAATACCCCATAGTACAATTAAATCTGTTCCTCCCGCTTGAAACTACACTAATATCACCTAAGGCTCAAAACCCACAAGCAATGCAAAATGTTCGGACAATCAAATTCAATTAGTTCATAAATGGACCCTAAAAATCTCCATCTCCCCAAAGAAGCGCCTTAAAACTACACTAATATCACCTAGGGCTCAAAATCCACAAGCAATCCGAACTGTTCCGACAATCAAATTCAATTAGTTCATAAATGAACCCTAAAAAATTCCATCTCCCCAAAGAAACACAAAGCATCATCTCTAAATAGAAACCTCAAATCCACGGCATAAAAATCAGAGAAAATAAAGGAATCCAGATCGTAGTTCCAAAATTCTACATATATGAATTGAATTAGAAACTTACGGAATTCCCAGAATCTTGATCCGAACCGGCACGCTCTTCAACATCGGGACAATAGGAAGAAGGAACGGGGCCCGGGTCGGTGAGAACACAAACAGCGAAAGAGAAAAGGCAGAGGGAAGCCATGGAAGTGAAAATCAAAGAGTTAAACAGACCAGGAGAGGTAAACAAACCAGTCCAATTCTCGATGAAAATGAACATCGTAATGTAATACACAAAAGCCATCAACAACAACACAGAAAAGACGGGAATTGATATGAATCTCTTCATTTTCACCTGGGATTCGAGCAGAGTAAGAGGGAAAACAGAGCGAGCTTGGGAATTCCAGGATTTTAGCTGCCCGGGAAATTTGGTCAACCGGGCAATTTTAATGTCCATAAATGGGCCGGATTTGGGCTTCAAAAAAAGCTGGTCCACCAAAGAACTGGCCCAACTTCGCGTTCTATTCAGTTTCGTTTAAGTCACTCTGGCCCATGGGCTTTTATTTGGTAATGTTTCTATTTAAAACATAAATAACAATATTAGTAATTATATTTGTTTTTTTTTAATTTAAATGTAAAAATTAACATGGAAATAATTTTTTAAAATTAAATACAAAAAAAACTGTTTATAATTATTTTATTATATTTATTATACATTTTAGATATAAAAAAAAAAAGAACACAAAACAAGAAATTTAATTTTTTTTTGTTTAAATTTTTTTTACATAAATAAATTAAAATTTTCTTTTTAACATTTTTGTCTAAATTTTAATATTTTAATTTATGTGAACGAAAACATTACTCTCCTAGTTAAAATATATATTATCGACTATTGCATACTTCAATTTTAATATCGAAAATAACTAAATATTTTAAGACCAAACAGTTGTCGTGAGAATAGTCGAGGTGCATATAAACTAACTCGAACACTCTCGAATATATAAAAAAAAAAAATTATACATATCATAATTTTAAATGTCGAAATTGTATAAAAAAATTAAATATTGAAAAAGCAAAAGAAAAAAAAAACCATAAATTGACCTGTCGAATTATGGTGTACCCATGAAAATCAATTAAGTGTTTTTTTTTTTTTTTTTTTTGTCTTTTTCATATATTATTGTCCTCCACAAAGCTGTCTCCAAGCTGACTTGAGACTGACATGTATCTTTCAAATGTTTTTTCACACTAAAAAAGGTAACAAAATTTCACCCACCTTTTTCATTTCCAATTAAACCCACACCTTTTTTTTTTTTTTTAATTTCTTTTACTTAATTATTATTAATTTAAAAAAAAAAAAAAAAAGTTCAAGCACTGATTCAATAAGCTGATCCACGAGCCAAAGTTCAATTAACAAGCTAGAGGTCGATCCAAAGAGATAAACAATAAGGCAGAAGGTAAGCCAAGAGCGGATATAATAATATCAACCAACTAAGCTAGGGAACATTCCAAAAACAACATGTTCAAGGTAGATCAACGAGCTATAGATCACCCGTGTTATACTTTATTTCTTCACCCTTTTTTTTTATTGGAATAGTGACTGAAATCCCGGCTTTTGAAATGGTAAGAGATGTTTTATGCTCTCGGGGCACGACAATTGAGAGCATTTCTAAAAATTGAAAAATTGGGGTTACAAAAAAGGAAATAAATAAATAAATATGGAAATATACACATAAATGGTAGAAAATTATTAAAGATGGAAAATAAATATGTTATTTTGAAGTGGGCACAGATAGAATATTTATATGTAGGGTTTTTTGAGGACCCAATTTGTTGGGCACATCCGATGTGGGACAGCAACACCAGTACGGAAGACTCAAAACAGCCTTGAATTCGTGTGTCGTTTGGTTTTGGGTTATCATTTTCATGCCCTATCTCTTCCAATTGCCTATCCTCAATCAATTATCTGCAACATTCAAACCCTAAAATTGTACGAGAAGATTCATATCACTCATTCAAGCTCTCTCTCTCTAGACCCACAAAAACAACCAAGAGAGAGAGAAACAAAAAACCCTTTTGTTTTCGATGAATCCCGTCTTGCTCTTGTTCGATCTTCTGTCTCCGATTTGTCAGCCGATAAGATCTTTGAGATTGATCGACATTTGTAGACGCCCGATTCATTGAAATTTAGAGACTCAGTAGTTGGGATGAAATGAAACGATAAAAAAAGACAACCCAGTTGAGATTTAGAATTTTTCTCTCGAATTTGTCTAAATTGTTGTTTCGACAACACTGAAAGGTCTCCAGAATAAGATATTTGAGATTGACCGGCTTTTATTTGTGCTCGATAGATTGAATCTCAGGGAGTCAAAATCTTGCCTACAACACAAATCAAGTGGCTTGAAAATTCACGTGGTGAAGTAACCAAGACGAAATGAAACAATGAAAAAAAAAAAAAACCAGTTGAGATTTTGAAGTTTTCTCTCGAATTCATCTAAATTGTTGCTTCGATAACGCTAAAAAATCAAACTTTATCCTCTTTTAACAAATAATAAGTGACCCGTCCTCAACGAAACTTGAAAATTAGGTTAGTTTAACTTTTCAACTCGAAAAACTCTAAAAAAAATTGGATTTTGAGATCGAAATCTCGGGACCCATCAACTCAAATCAAGAAAGAAAACCTCCATGGATGAAGATTAGAGCTTTGAAATTGAAGAGTGAAGAACATAACTAACCTTTATGAGTATGAGATTGTTGAGATCCCAAGATATATACATATACATATACATATATATATATATATAGCCATTGAAGCTATTGCTAATGCAGCATCATCAAGATTCTCAATCAAACAAGCTTCAAAAAAACATGAACTCTCAAAAATCATTGTGAATCTTGATGATGCCGCACAAGCAAATTATGGCTGTGATTGAGTTCTTGATGAACATGAACAAGAACAGGAGAGAGAATAAGAACAAGAGAGAGAAAATTGAAACAAAAAAAAAAAAATAAAGGAGTGAGAATGAGTGGAAAGATGGTAGATTTAAGGTGGATATATATACACGAGGGCTCAAACACAAGGAGCTTCCTAGATTACTTTCCACCTCCCCTTTGCCACTTAGCTCGGGGCCACCTTACGTATTCTCGATTCCGACCATAGCTCGATCAGATCAATAACACACTCTATGTTTTCGTAATGGTATGATATTGTCTGGGTCGTTGTAGAGTTTACTTTTAATTTCACCCACGTTGAAAAAATATTTGCATTTTTAGTACTTTTCCAATTTTAAGCACAAGATCAATTGAGTCAGTGCTCGTATAAGACTTTGGATCTTCACATTTCTATATTGGTTTAATATCTTCCACTCTCCGTACGAGTCCTAGTGGGTCTTATTCTTTTTTCTCTTATTCAAGAGGTCAAGTCTCGTACCAATTAAATCAGTAGACCTTGATTGACCTTATCTCACTATTTTCATCTTTTAAAAATTCGTACTTTTACATTATCGTCTCTCATTTTTTGTGCTATGTTCGAGAAGAAAACTTCCAAAATTTTTAATCCGAACATAATTTAGTCGATAATTCATCAATTAATATCTCAAAGGTTGATACTCGAGCTCTCGCCCCGAACAAAAAAAAAAAAAACAAATGGTAATATTGATTAAATTAAGAAAAATCATAAATAAATGGTAATATTGTAATTAAGTGGGAAAGTGTGGGTATAGTATAACTCATAATTAAAATAATTAATATATATACTAAATTCGTTTGGCTGTCCTTATCCTTTGAAATTAAAAATACCATGTAATAATTACTTTTATTTAACTATCGAATTATATGTATATAATTTATTTTATTCCATAATTATACACAATAAAATATTTTCGAAACTATTTAGAAAGTAGTTTTTTAAATATATAATTAAATAAAATTATAAATTATAATTAAATATTTAAAAATAAATATTTAACTCAACCCAATTAGATTTATTATTTAATAAAAGTGGTTTGAATCGAAAAAGCTTATGTCTTAAATTTTTTTAAAATTAAATAATTAACCGAATTAAACCAAAAATTTATATTTAAAAAATAATATATTAAAGAATGGGTTAATTAATTAATTAAAAAAAATTGATATAGAAAATAGTAATAATGATAAGGGTGAAGAAAAAATAAAGATGCAGAAAAAGTAATTAATGAAATATTCCAAAACTGATGAAGCAATGTGATTGGTGCAGCCGTTGTGGGCCCACTAATAATGCTACATATTCTTCACTCACTGTCTCCACACAAATGAATTGTACTCTCTGCCCCTCCCACCATAATTTCATTTTTATTTATTAAATATTTCATTTATACGTCTAAATTTTACGATATACTTTTATATGTATATTCGATACGAAAAAAAGGTCCTAATAAGGTGTCATTACACGGGAAAAGTATCGGGAAAAGTATCGGTAACAACAGAAATGAAGGGGTTTGTGTGGCTGTTGTGTCCACCCCGACCCTTCTTATTCAATCGAGCAAGTGTAAAATTATTTGGCCACTAACTAAAAACAATCAGGACTGGTGTGTCGGTATGAAATCGATTTAAAATAAATAAATAATAATAATTTATGAATTTTTTAATTATATTAAAAATAATTTTAAATGGGAAATTTCAAAATTATGAAATATAAAATTTTAAATTAAAAACTAAAATAAAGGAAACGATAATTAATGATTTTTTTTATTATTATTAAATCCAAACCAGGAGTTATCTGTTGGTTGGTTGGATATAATAATTTAATAAAAAAGAGGAAAAATAAAGGACTGAGTATTAAAAATAAATTAATTAATATGGCCAATATAATAAAGTAAGTGCCATTTTTTTAACTTTTAAAAACACATACAATTGTTCATAAATGTTCCTTTAATGGCCGACAACCTAGTACTCCTTTTTTTAAACTGTCTAATTTTCTTTTATTAATTTATTTTCCACTTTTAAAATTTTAAATTTCCCACTCTCTTTCTTTTTTTAATAAAAAAATAATATAATTTAGTAATTAAAAAAATTAGAACACGCTAACTATCTGAGTTCTATGCAGACACCTCGGAAGCTTTAATTCTTCCAAGAGTTCTTTGGTGTTCACTCGGGTTAATTCCCATGTTCCCTCGTGGCATGCCCAATTGGGTTTTTTGATAGCGATAACTCATCGTTGGCTCACCCGAACACATTAGTTCTTCGAGATTTTTGTACGTGGTCTTATGGAACTTTGTAGGTACTAGAGTCGTAGCTAGCCTTTCCTTAAACTCTAAGAATCTTATTTATTGCATGTTTTGTGGATACAACGTTAGTGGGAATCTCACTTTACGATCACTATGGAACTAATTGATTTAATTAACTTTAAAGTCATAAAATTAGTGCTCTAATTATTCTAATTAATCTTCTCCTCTCCCCCGCCCCTACCAATACCCACTCATACAAAAAATGTTCGAATTATTTATATTTTATTTCTTACTTTAAAATCGAGCGGTGCCAAGCCCAATGTTAGTCGATATTATCTTTTTTGAGCTTTCCTCAAGGCTTTAAAACGGTTACTAAAGGGTGTTTTGTTCTCCTCCCAACCAACACCCCTTGCATGGCACTCGTTCGTTTCTCCAAGAGATGTGGGACTCCCTTTGGTGTCAGTGTCCATACTAGGTTTTAATATCATTTGTAATGGTCCAAGTCCAAGCCCACTGTTAGTCGATATTGTTGTCTTTGCTTTCCCTCAAGACATTAAAATGCATCTGCTAGAAGAAGGTTTCTTACTTTAAAATTGAGTGATGCTTAGCTCAAGCCCAACGCTAGCCGATATTGTCTTTTTTGAACTTTCCTCAAGATTTTAAAACGGTTACTAAGAGATGTTTTGTTCTCCTCCCAACCAACACCCTTGCATGACACTTGTTTGTTTCTCCAAGAGATGTGGGACTCCCTTTAGTGTCAGCGTCCATACTAGGTTTTAATATCATTTGTAATGGTCCAAGTCCAAGCCCACTGTTAGTCGATATTGTTGTCTTTGCTTTCCCTCAAGACATTAAAATGCATCTGCTAGAAGAAGGTTTCTTACTTTAAAATTGAGTGATGCTTAGCTCAAGCCCAACGCTAGCCGATATTGTCTTTTTTGAACTTTCCTCAAGATTTTAAAACGGTTACTAAGAGATGTTTTGTTCTCCTCCCAACCAACACCCTTGCATGACACTTGTTTGTTTCTCCAAGAGATGTGGGACTCCCTTTAGTGTCAGCGTCCATACTAGGTTTTAATATCATTTGTAATGGTCCAAGTCCAAGCCCACTGTTAGTCGATATTGTTGTCTTTGCTTTCCCTCAAGACATTAAAATGCATCTGCTAGAAGAAGGTTTCTTACTTTAAAATTGAGTGATGCTTAGCTCAAGCCCAACGCTAGCCGATATTGTCTTTTTTGAACTTTCCTCAAGATTTTAAAACGGTTACTAAGAGATGTTTTGTTCTCCTCCCAACCAACACCCTTGCATGACACTTGTTTGTTTCTCCAAGAGATGTGGGACTCCCTTTAGTGTCAGCGTCCATACTAGGTTTTAATATCATTTGTAATGGTCCAAGTCCAAGCCCACTGTTAGTCGATATTGTTGTCTTTGCTTTCCCTCAAGACATTAAAATGCATCTGCTAGAAGAAGGTTTCTTACTTTAAAATTGAGTGATGCTTAGCCCAAGCTCAACGCTAGCCGATATTGTCTTTTTTGAACTTTTCTCAAGATTTTAAAACGGTTACTAAGAGATGTTTTGTTCTCCTCCCAACCAACACCCTTGCATGACACTCGTTCGTTTCTCCAAGAGATGTGGGACTCCCTTTGGTGTCAGCGTCCATACTAGGTTTTAATATCATTTGCAATGGTCCAAGTTCAAGCCCACTGTTAGTCGATATTGTTGTCTTTGCTTTCCCTCAAGACATTAAAATGCTTCTGCTAGAGGAAGGTTTCCACGCCCTTATAAATAGTGTTTTGTTCTCCTCCCCAACTAATATGGGACATCACAGAGTCGAAACAACATGAAATGAAAAATAACGGACTCGCATACAAATTTAAAGGTTTAAATATTAATTTAAAAATTTAGTAACAATAATTTTTTTTTTTTAATTTCAACCAATAATTTATTATGGACAAATAATTCACTCCCAATTTTTCGGCCCAATAAAAAGGTCTTGAAGTTCTTTGAAGCCCAAGTTGTCGGCCCAATAATTTCAATATAATGGGCTATAATACACAAATCACCCTTTAATTAAGTATAATTTCAAATTAGTCCTCGAGAAACAATATTATTACGATCGACCCCAAATATTTTCTTTTTTTTCCCCTTAAACCTCAATTTAAAAAATTACCTTTTTCAATATTTATAGAATATTTTATATAAAAAAAATCTCGATAAATAATAATAATTATAATAATTCTTTAAATAGAGCTTTTGTATTTTATTTTTAATTTAAAGCAACTTTGATGCAGATTTTAAAAATGAATTTCCAATTCTTTAAATAATGATTAAATTGGAAAACATAATAATATTAATAAATAAATAAATAAAAAGGACATAGAATCCATAATTGAATAATAATTTTTAATAATTCATGAAATTTCATGGTAGCTTCATTTTTGTAATAATTGTTTGGAAAACTAAAATAACATTAAAAAATAAAATAAAACTTAAAGATGTTCACACGTGCGATGACACGTGGGCCCACAAAATTCAGTGGTCAACATTTGCGGACATAAGAACTATAATTGTAACCTTATTACTTTAATATAAATCCTCTGATTTTTAATTTGATATACTGAAATTACTTTTTTGCCCCTTGCTCGTGAATTTAAAGCTGGTATGGTGAGGGCAATATTGGAAATGAGACAAACCAATATTTAAAAAAATAATAAAAATAAAAAGATTAAGATGACAATATCTTGAATTTATAATAATAAATTAATTAATTTTATATTATATTATATTAAAAAAAAACTAGATTACGGAATTACGGACAATATCTAGAATTTTTTATTATTTAAAAACTAATAAAAATAAAAAAATTTAAGTTTTTTGTAATTTAAGAATATTCTTATAATTAAGTTAAAAAATTAATGTTAAATTATAATTTTAATTGGAAAAATTATTAGAATTAAATTGAAATTATTATTTAATATAATATTTAGGAATGGATTGATATTTTCCAACTTCTCTAATTTTATATTATTATTTCCCCAAAAGGAATAAAAAATATAATTATATTAAATATTTTCCCAAAAAGCCCTTATTGGAAGTAATATAAATAAGCTCCCAATCCCGCAAATTAAGCCTCTCTCTTCACAACTTCAAAACAGCTTCCCCAACAAAATTCTTTTTTATTTTTTATTTCTCTCAAAAATCCATAATTCTGCAGAAAATAGAAAAAAAAAAAAAAGAAAGAAGGGCATTATAGGAAAATGATGGAAGAAAGAAGAAGGCTGTGCAGAAGGGAAGTACGCGACTCGTCGTCGGCTTGCAGTAGGAGACCAGCAACGGCGTCGTTTAAGCAGAGATGCAGTTTACTGGTGAAGGAGCAGAGAGCTAGGTTTTACATTCTTCGCCGATGTGTCGTAATGCTCGTGTGTTGGAATTACTATGCTGACCCTTGATTTTTTGTATATATACATTTTTATTATTGTTGTTGTTTTGTTTTATTCCAAAATTAAGAAAAAATTTGGGATTTTTATTTTTTAAATTTTTAAATTTAGCTTGAGAATAATATATTTTTAATTATTTTTCGAATTCATCGTGTTTTTAGTTCGATAATATATGGGGGTATGATTCGTACTTTTTCACTTTTCGATCGAATTATCTCAGTTGAGCTATGGTCTTATTGACTCGACTAAAACAATTAAATGAATTATTAAAAGTGACGTAAGTATAATTTTAAGCTGACAAAGAGAATCCTTCGAACAGGAACAAGACATCGCACCGTACAACATCTTTTGAAGTTTTACCAGCTCATTTGTCGAGAGCTCTCGTGGGCTCACAGACCCATTTCAAACCCCGTTATTAGAAGGTTAAACATTATATGTCCCGATATCTAAAACAGGGTTAAATTATATTTTTCCCGACCTATTCTCAATTGTCCATAAAAAAAACCCTAAATTTTGGAAAAAAGAGGCATTAATATAAGGTCCCATTTGTTTGAGTGATGTAGCTTTAAAAAGTGGGATGGTCTAATCAACAAAGCTCTTGCATTTCAATCAATCTCTTAGATGTTTCTCTTTGCCTTCCAACCCATTTATTCAAATAGTTTCGGTTTTGTCCCGATTTTCGTCCACCTTTGCAAGTTTCTCCCCCGAAATTAAAAAATACGATAACTCGAAAAATTTGATTAGTTCAACTCAACTTTGAGCTCGGTTGGATCATTTTAACAAAGGGTTGTTTGGGATAAAAAATTTTATAATCTGAACAATTGAGTTTGGTCTAAAAACTGTCCCAGCTCAACCCACGAACACCCTCTACTTTTAAAGAAGATACAATATGAACATCGTCGATGAACAAGGAGGAAATTTATAGCACTACGATTTTGTATATTACCACTGAATTTCATCTAACGACGTGCCAAATACTAAATGAAAAGAGTACGTACGTACTACTGTAATACTAGAAGCTTTCTCGTGAATAAGCCGGGAAAAATCCACACACTAATATTTATATGTTTGTAAGCTCGGTAGATATATGTTCGAGAAAAACTAGATCTTTATTATCCTTAGAATAATTCGATGAAACTTTTGGTAATAGGCATCCATCGTAATCGAGAAAAGATATAGAACACTAAGATATGGAATAATGAATAATGGGCAAAAAGAGAGATAGGGTTATCCAAATTGATGAATGAGTTGAATGATTAATAGCACCAAAACACTCCCACAGTTTGGAGATTGGGTTTTGAAAAGATTTGAGGGTTGCTATCAAACAAGATATGAACTATACACGTATATATAAAATTGGTTGCTTATGATAGGGAAAGTGTGTTGCCAATTAACTTTGACCCCTTTTCTCCTCATCCTTCACCTGGAGTTGTCCCCGATCGTTCTTGTTTTTGTTTTTGTTCTTGTTCTTGTTCTTGGTGCTAAACCCTAATCTTGTATGTTGAACGTGGAATTAGAAATTATCGTTAAGAAAAACCAGTTTTTACACTAGTTCAAGCCCACCGCTAGTAGATATTGTCCTTTTTTAGGGGTTTTTGTCTTGGGTTTTCTCTCGAGATTTTAAAACGCGAGTCTATTAGGGAGAAGTTTTTACACCCTTGTAAGGAATGTTTCGTTCTCTCTCTAAACGATATGGGATCTCACAATCCACCCATTTGGAGGTTGAGTGTTCTCGTTGGCACACCGCTCGGTGTCTATCTCTAGTACCATTTGTAATAGCCCAACCCCACCGTTAGCAAGGTTGTCATTTTTGGACTTTTTTGTCTTGAGTTTTCTCTCAAAATTTTAAAACGCATCTAATTAGGGAGAAGTTTTCACACCCTTGTAAGGAATGCTTCGTTCTCTCTCTAAACGATATGGGATCTCACAATCCACCCACCGCTCGGTGTCTATCTCTAGTACCATTTGTAATAGCCCAACCCCACCGTTAGCAAGGTTGTCATTTTTGGACTTTTTTGTCTTGAGTTTTCTCTCAAAATTTTAAAACGCGTCTAATTAGGAAGAAGTTTTCACACCCTTGTAAGGAATGCTTCGTTCTCTCTCTAAACAATGTGGGATCTCACAATCCACCCCTTTGGAGGCTGAGCGTCCTCGTTGGTACACCACTCAATGTCTATCTCTGGTACCATTTGTAATACCTCAAGTCCATCGTTAGCAAATATTGTCCTCTTTATGCTTTCCCTTTCCCCTCAAGATTTTAAAATGCGTCTGTTACGGAGAGACTTCCATACCCTTATAAGTAATGTTTCGTGTCCACAAACAAAAATAAATGGTTTAAATGAGATATGACTGATCTAAAGTGGACATGAAGCAACCGATGCGGGATCTCACAAAATTCATGATCAAATAGAGCTAACTCTTGACTAGAGGACCTACGAGTTGATGAAACATTACTACTTCCTCGAGAAAGAGAGTTACATTCATGAAGTCGTGATAAGTCGAGATTCAAACAAAAAACATTCATTATCGTCAAAAAGCAATGGTCCACACCATATCCTTTATTAAGTCGAGATTTATTCTCTTTTTAAAGTCAAAACTTTATCACGATAATGTAAGATAAGCTTATCTGAAAGAAAGTAGAGTTATCGACAAACAAAAACAGATGGTTTAAAAACAAGTGTTTTTTTTCGATGTTTTAAAATAAAAAAATTCGAACATAACTCAATAGATAAGATATTTATTTCACGTTAGATGTTCGATGTCTCGTAATTATTGACGTGGAAAAAAAAATATAGGGATTAAAAAAATAAAAGAAAGGGATTCACTTATGTAGAAGTCCGGTCCAATCAGCCCAGTTTCATTATTGGGCCGTAACTGGCCTGTCATCTTCTTTCCTTCGGCCTGCTTTCCCGAATCCGACATGTCGTTTTTTGCGAGACAGTGTCGTTCTTCTTCGCCATTGTTTATTTTGGGTATAACGTCGTTCTTCTTCTCGATTCAATTGAAGGTTACAGCCATTAACGAACCAGTCGCGAAGGAGCAAGCTTCTTCTTCTCCTTCGCAGAATTCTCCAATTTCTGCGTAGACTCCACGAAAGTTCAATCGACAGAGAATTACTTGGGAGTGGTTGTTTTACATACCCTTGATCGACATGGGCTCCTCCTCCTCTGTCCCTGGTATTTTCAATTCTCGAATTACGTTGCTTCAGTTTTGTTAGGGTTATCAGATTGTTTATTCGTCTATTTAATTATGATCGAAGAGGGCGTATTGAGAATCTAGGAGGTCGATTGTTTGGTCTGTTTTATGTTGTTGCTAATTATGGAGTTGTCTTGGTTCATTGATTTTCTTTAATGGCAGCATTAGGGTTTGGTTGGTTTTATCTTACGTATACGAGTTTAGGTCGAGTTTCATTGATATTTTGGTGGGATTTGTAATGCAGGCAGGGCTTCTGGAGGATCGGGGCGGCTTAATCCAAAGAACAGGGCAGCTGGTTCCAAGAATTTGCGCGTCAAGGTATTTGATATGATGCAACCAAATGATTCACTTGTAGTTCTTGTCTTTTCAGTGTTAATGGAATACGGCCCCTTAAGTATGTTCTATGTCAGTCTGATAGCTGGGAATTTTGTTGATTTACAATTCTTTACTGTTGAAGACGAACATGAGGCCCCTTAAGTAAGTTGTATTGCGTCAAATATTGTGCTTGCTTAGAGAGCTTAAAAGTTTTTATGATATCTTGTTTGTTTTTTACAACTTCCCTTTCTGTCTTTATGCAGCTTGTCCTGTTAGGTGATTCTGGTGTTGGTAAAAGCTGTATTGTTCTTCGCTTTGTCCGTGGTCAGTTTGATCCGACGTCTAAGGTCAGCATTGTGTTACATTCTGTTAATTCTTAAGATAAATGTGAGCCCAATACATGTAACATCTCAAGCCCACTGTTAGTAGATACTGTCTTTTTTGGTCTTTCCCTTAAGGGCTTTCTTTCAAGGTTTTAAAACCCTTATGTTAGGGAGAGGTTTCCACACCCTTTAAGGAATGCTTCGTTCTACTCTCCAACCGATGTGGGATCTCACAATATAAATAAATTTACGTTTTTATCATTCCATTCCCAAAGGAATTACAATCGTTTGATTCGACATGTTTGTTGAGAAAACTCAGGTAACTGTTGGAGCATCGTTCTTGTCACAAACGATAGTTTTACAAGATTCCACTACAGTGAAATTTGAAATATGGGATACCGCTGGGCAAGAGAGGTAGGACTATCTTAATCTCTAGTTGATATCCTCAAACACATGTTTTTAACTTCTTAGAAAGTAATCATATTCTCATTGGTAGCCATTTTTAGCTTGCTTCATGTTCACAAGAGCTTTTTATTGCAAAAGGTTATCACTGTTGATTTGTCTTGATTTAGGTATGCTGCATTAGCTCCACTTTACTATCGAGGTGCTGCAGTTGCAGTTGTTGTATATGATATAACAAACTCAGATTCATTCGCCAAAGCAAAATATTGGGTTAAGGTATGTTTTAAAGTGATTATGTAGTTTTCGTACTATATTTACTAGCGACGATCTTTGTTCATAGTCCTTATTCATGGCAGCTCCTCATTAGTTTAACATCCCACACACCCTTGATTCAATTTAAACGGAATTCTTTTTAATCTATGGGAAGATAATCAGATAATCACATTCTTCACTACCTATATGTTGTTCCATTGTAGTTTCTCCTCATTTTCCAGTTTACATTTATGGTGTGTGGACTTTTCGCTTTTACTTTGATGATCGTCATTCTTCTGACTCGTACTTTTCATTTCACTTTGTTTCTTTATAATTGTTGTGTTGTTTCCTGCCCCAAGGAAGGAAAAAAAAAAAAAAAAAAAAAGGAGACAAGACGATCTTTTATTTATTCCTTTTTCGGTTTTCAAATCAATCAATGTTGATCACGTTAACAAAGATTCGTCCTATTTTTAAAATATCAACAAAGATTATTGTGTCCCTTTTGATTTGGTTATCCTTTGAGCTTTGACTAATTCACAATCTTCACAATTCATACTGGGCACTCACAGGAGCTACAGAAGCATGGCCGCTCTGATATCATTTTGGCATTGGTCGGTAACAAAGCTGATCTTCAAGAGGAAAGGAAAGTATCTGTTCAGGTAAGTTCAATGTTATTCAATCAAATGCATTCTTCTTCTCCTGTCTTCTTTTTTCTTTTTCTTTTTTTGGTCTATTTTGTTTCTTTTTCAGAATGGGTAAAGAAACTTTAACTCACTAATGTGAGATACTTATGTTTCACTTTTGAAGGATGGGACTGAGTATGCAGAGAAGAATGGACTGTTCTTTATTGAGACATCTGCAAAGACTGCAGATAATATAAACGAGCTGTTTGAGGTACTCCTGATTTTATCCTTTTTGTATGAATTTCATAGCTGCTGTTCATAAACAAGGTAGATATTTGTGTATAGTGATTTTTATGATATTCCACAGTCCGCAGTGCAGTATTTGAATATTACTGTTGATGTTAGAAGTTCATAATCTGCTTAAGTTATTGTCATAGCCAGTAAAACTTTAAAACATTCATTGGAGTAGCGGAACTTTAGCAAATCAATTCTCTATTGATGATAGTGTTGAACTCAAGAAGATGTGAAGTTGGAGCGTTCTTTCATCCCCAGCTTTTCGTTGGTGGTTGTATCTATCAATTTACTAGCTCCATAAGTGTGATATCCCACATCGGTGGGAGAGGAGAACGAAACATTTTTTTTAAGTGTGTGGAAACCTCTCCCTAACAGACGCGTTTTAAAAACCTTGAGAGAAAGCCCGAAAGGAAAAATCCAAAGAAGATAATATCTGTTAGCGGTGGAGCTTGAGCTGTTACAATAAGGTTTGAATGAAGCTGCATGCTGTCAGAACGTTCACCTTAGGTCTCTATTGGTTGCTCTATCTCTGAATGAGCAATGTTTGGATTGGATTGGATTGCTTTTTTACCTCTAATTTGTCTGTGGTGCATGTTTTATTGAATGCCTATCACTGTAATTCGTGCTTCGAAACAGCCATTAAAAGGAGTTGAAAATGGTCTTCTGATATTTAGTTAGTTCGTATACTTTATCCAAAATTGAAGTCTTTGAGAAACACATTTCATGGCCTGAAATATGTGAAGATGTTCAATAGTTGTCATGTCGTGATCACTTTGCGTGACCCGTCTCCTTTTCGCATAAAGTTTCTCTAAAAATGTATATTTCTCATCCCAAGAGGGGCAGTTTAAGATCCATGGCTTTGTAGGTTCCACCAGATGTCTCGATTCGAATACCGTTTAGATCAACCATTTCTTCTCTCTTTGATTTGGCAGGAGATTCTAAGCGATTGCTACGACCAACTTCCTCGTGATCTTGCTACGACATTAATGCTTTTGTCAGCAGCTTCATCTCCCAGCTGATCTGTGTATAGTTTGGTGAGTCTTGCAGGCCTTCGCTTTATTATTCGATTCGATTCATATCTCCATTCCAAGTGTAACATTAAACAGATATGAAAATGGTGAAGGATTCATTCCCCTCTAAACCATAAGCTGCACTTGTAAACTATCTTTTATAGTGTTATAAGTCAGTTGGGCTGGAGGTTGAACCGACCCCATCATCGACTATTGATCGAGAAATGAATAAGAAGGAAAAAAAAAAAAAAAAGAGTTTGAGTTGATTCACTTATGAAAGTTTTGAATTTAGTTGCGTATGGATTTAATAATTAAAAAAATTAAATTTTTTTAATAGAAAATAGATGCTATGTCAACTTTTAGGTGGTACGAATAAAGAAAAAAATGTTATTTAATAAAAAATAAAGAAATAATACAACATTTTATTTTGTTTATAAAAAAATAATAAAAGTCAATTTCTGATAGGAAAAAATGCCATTATTTTATGTAAAAAGAAAAAAAAAAGAAAAAAAAAAAAAGTAAGCCAATCACCATTGATGTACAATACCCAATAAATATTAATTTAATTGATTACTTAAACAGACCTCTAGCAGGATTTTTAAATAAAAAATTATGAAATTAAAAAATAAAAAATAAAAATCTGATTACGTCAAATATTAAAATGTTTAAAATTTATTAACCTATTTACTAAATACAAAATAAAAAAATTTAAAAGTTTAAAATTTATTTGAATAAAACAAAATAAATAATTTACTCCAAAAACCCACATCATAATTGTAGTGAAAATGGACAAAATAAATTATTAAAATACTTTACTATTTAACAAAATATCCCGAAAAAAACATATGAAATAATATGATTATATTAAATTAAAATAATAAAACGAATATAATACCGATTGGAATTATAGAAATAATATGACAAGTATTTCTAGAAAAAATTACTAAAAATAAAAAATGAAAAAATATATTTAAATTAATAAATAAATAATTTACAGTTATTATTTATATTCTAGTCTCCTTGGTGATGTGATATATATTATGGTTTATTGCAGAGGATGTTGTCCTAATCGAATCGGACCCAAACATTCACGAAAGCTGTTGATTTTTGGTCCCATCTTTGTTCATATGGTCGCAGGAATGGAGTTTCTCCACCATTCCCACCTCCTTCCCTCATACTCAAACTAAAGTCTCCGTTAGGGTTCATGGAAGCTTCATTCTGAGGTCAGAAATAGCATGCGTTTTCTTTAATCTTCATCTCTTCTTCCTATTTTCTCTGAGTTTCTCATTTGTTTTCTGCTCAAATTTCTCCTGTTTTTGCTGCTCAGTTATTAGTAATCTTCTTATTCTTCTCTTGAAGCTGTTTTATCAGTTAGATAATGGAGAATCCTGATCAGGATCAGCAAGATCCGAGGTACGACTCATCTGGCTTTCTTTAATTTCAATAGCTCTTCTGCTTTTGCCTCTAGTTTTTAGTGGTTCCGTAAGTCTCCGATTATCGTTTGAGCTTGTGTAATCCTGTGATTGGTGGATTGTTCTTGAACAAAGTGTATTAGATTTAGGAGGTTAAGTTGCTTTTTTCTATATGATTCTGGATTATGAATTACTAGTTTGCCGTCTTCCATCGAGACATTTTTGCTCCTTAAGGATGTAAACGGCTTTGTCTCAAAGCTGAGATTGCGAGAAATTTCGGAGAAATGGAACTTAAGTTTTCTGTTTTAATTTAGATCAGATGCAACTTTTTTTAAATTAATGTTTAAAAGCATTGTACAGTTGTATTGGTTATTGGGAAAACGAACTGTACTCATACTTGGATGGATGCTATGTTATAATTAAATGGTGGAGTTGATTGCGTATGTTTTAATGGTCATTGGTGTATCAGGAGCGTTCCTGGTGTGGAGGACACAACTGCAATGACTATTGAGTTTCTTCGTGCTCGATTACTATCAGAACGATCTGTTTCAAAATGTGCAAGAGAGAGAGCTGATGAACTAGCAAAAAGAGTTCAGTGTTTGTTTATTATTTTTGTTGGTTTTACATGGCTTCTATCTCGTGTGTTTGATCTAGAAATATAATTTTTTTACCATAGGTTGCAGAACTGGAGGAGCAGCTAAGGGTTGTGTCTTTTCAAAGAAGAATGGCTGAAAAGGCCACAGCAGATGTACTTGCCATCTTAGAAGACAATGGGGCTACAGATATTTCTGAGACACTTGATTCAAACTCTGACCATGAAACGGCAAAAGTTGAGGATGGCTGTGTAAGAGGGGATGCAAACTCCAGTTCAATAGGAAGGAGAAACGAACACGAAGAATATTCAGGTTCTGATACTTCTCCAATGTTAGGTGGAAGCCTGTCTTGGAAAGGACGCAATGATAGACCACATATTCGCGAGAAGTACAAAAAATTTTCTATAAGAAGTCAAAGCAATTTTACTTCGATTGGTTCTTCTTCACCAAAACACCAACTTGGAAGATCATGCCGCCAGATAAAACGTCGAGATACAAGGTATGCTCAAGCTGTTTATTTTCGTCCTCTATTTATGAAATTTTTGTTAAATTGGATCATCTGTAAGACTCTAGGTTATTGTTCCTGTAGATCAATTGGCATTCTGGAGTGACTATTAATTCCTAATTACTGAAGTGAGATTTTGGAGAGATCTGAATGTAATGGTCATAGCCATTCCAACCTCTATGGTCATAGCCATTCCCTTAATATGTTATTTTTTTTTAGTCATTGACAACAATCTTCATATGTTCTTATGCCACCCCGTCTCCTATGGAAGGTGGGGTTCAATCCTACAAACCTTTTGAATCTCTTAGTACTTACCTAATATTTTGTGATAATCAATAGATTAGTAGTTTTCTGGTCACCCTCTCCTGTAAAAAGAAATCTACTTAGAGTGTCTGTTGACTTGAATGGAAAAGAATAGAACTTTCCGAGACTCTTCGGAGGGAGAATGGTTTTATCTTAGGGAGACACTTCGAGAATCTTGACCTTTCTTTGGTGCTATTTCGGAAACAATTTTGTAACTGTTACTCTTTTGTTCTCGTTGCTGATAGAAGGTTTTTTTCCTCCCTTAATATGCTATACTCCGCTCTTTGGCTGATAGATAAGATTGTTTGTTCCCTTCTTTTATATTCTTTCTTCGGCAAGCAAGTATTGTCTCTTTAGCGGAACCCGTTTGGCTTATCGTATAGGGGTGTTAGATGATAGTTGGCTGCTTCTACTATTTCTTAGATCCTTGAAGTGTAGTTCAATCATTTGATTGAGTGTTAAAGAGATGTTGTTGAGTAAAGCTCTTCTTGAACTTTGCACTTGAAATATTAATTATTACGTATGCATACCAGACCACTAGATGGGGAGCAAGAGCTCAAATCCAAGACATGCGTGGATAGTTGTCAAGAGATATCATCTACTTGTTCAGAAGACTCTCGGAATTACTCTGTAAATGGGGACAAGATCTCGAGAGACAGCTATGAACTTCATGAAAAGACACGCTTGGGTTCTTCAGAAGTTCATAATAGTGTAGGAAATAAAGATCAAGATCATGATTTAGATGGATATGAAAAGGTAAGCGCTATGGAGAAGTCATTGAAATGTCAAGCACAACTCATTGATCAATATGAAGCAATGGAAAACGCTCAAAGAGAATGGGAAGAGAAGTTCAGAGAAAATAACAACAGCACTCCCGTATGTTCTATCAGAAACTTATTACTTGCGATAGTTGACTGTTCTTTCTTTCATTATATCCACAATTTTATTGAGGCTTTTATGAAAGTTCTATTTTGATGCTAGGATCATGCATTCCTTTTTTTCTTTCATCTACCTTACATGATGAGCACTCTTTATCATATTGGTCACTTTTTTCTTCAAGTCTCTCCTGTTTTAGCTAGATAACTTCTGTTGATGATAGTAATGCCTTCCCTTTTCTTTTCTCTAGTAGGATTCTCCAGTATCATGAAAATAAATTTTAAGTAAATCTGTGGGATTATGTAAAGATTGTTTTCTTTGTTTTTGTAACAAAAAGAAAAAAAGGGAAGCCATTCGCCTTGCTTTTATTGCATAACAATCACGTTATACAGTCAATCCCTGCCAGACATATGTCTTTGCAGCCGTCCTTGATTTTGTGCACTCATTTACCTGCTTTAAGGGAAACATTCCTTATAAGGGTGTGAAAACATTTCCCTAGCAGACACATTTTAAAACCGTGATGCTGACGGCAATACGTAACGGACCATAGTGGACAATATCTACTAGCGGTGGGCTTTGGCTATTACAAATGGTATCAAAGTCAGTCATCGAGCAATCTGCCAGCAAGGACGCTGAGCCCCAAAAAGGGTGGATTGTGAGATCCCACATTGATTGGAGATGAGACTAAAACATTCCTTATTAAGGATGTGGAAACCTCTCCCTAGCAGACACGTCTTAAAAACCGAGAGACTGACGGTGATATATAACGGGCCATAGCGGACAATATCTACTAGCAATGGATTTTGACTATTATATACATGTCTTTCTCCTTGTACTAGTCTGTAAATGTTAGAACATTGTCAGATGGTGGGTGGGGGCAATTTGTCCTCTGGTTTTGACCCAATTACATTATCGTTTGCACAGTGGTAGTTTCTTTAACAACTTATTCTTCTCTCTTGGTTCATTGCTTGTGTAGGATTCTTGTGACCCTGGAAACCATTCAGATATCACCGAGGAAAGGGACGAGATCAGGGCTCAAGCGCCAAATCTGTCGAATAGTTCTTTGCTTGCAAATGAACCAAAATCACAGGTTTCAGCCGATTGTGTCACTAGAGATTTGTCCCAAGCTCAAACCAGTGGGGGGCTTGGCCCATCTTTGTGTTCTGATGTGGAAGACTTTCAGGATCAGAATATGAACAGCGTTTCCACTTCAAGATCACTTGAAGAATTTACCTTTCCTATGGCTAATGTAAAGCAATGCCAAGAAAGCCAAGAAAACAGAGAACAAGAACCTTCATGTACCTCCAACATCAATCATGGGCTCCCAGAAAGGCTGTTGTCATCTCATACTGGTATCAATATCTATGACCAAGAAACTCCGTGCAGTCGTAACGATCTATATGCACTGGTGCCACATGAACCGCCTGCATTAGATGGTGTACTAGAAGCACTTATACAAGCCAAACTATCACTAACCAAGAAAATCAACAAATTACCCTTTGTAGAAGGTGGTTCAGTTGATAAATCCATTGGAGCCTTATCTGTTCCAAAAGTTGAGGACAGGTTAGAAATCCCAATTGGATGTGCTGGGCTCTTCAGACTTCCAACTGATTTTGCTGCTGAAGCTTCTTCTACACAGCCGAACTTCTTGGCTTCAAGTTCCGAGTTAAGATCGACAGCTCGTTATACTGGTGTGAGTGTTGCATTATCTGCAACTCATCAAATTTTCCCTGCTCATGAAATGGAGGATAGATCAAGTTTTTTAACAGGTTTACGCAGCAGCCATTACCATACTGGTTCGGGTTCTACCCGAGATGGATATCTAACCGACCATTTCCCCGAGCATAGATGGAAAAATCCTGGCCAGAACCATCATTTCGATCAATACTTCGATGCAATTCAACCTTCTCCCTATGTGCACAGTTATCCATCACCACCTCCAGTATCGTCGAGCATCCATCCGAATGATAGCTTCTTAAGAACTCTTCCCAATCGGACCTTAGAAATGCCTCCGACCAACCAATATTCATTTTTCGAAGATCAACTTAGGCCGAATATGTATAGATAGTTGCATGTAGTTATATAAGTACAGATTTGTGATATATTCTTCAGGTACCTTGGAAGGCCATTTCTACCTTGCTGGAAGGAAATTGGCATTAGAAGGAGAAGGAGATTTGTCCGTTTGTAATATTAACGTTGTTTGTCCTGTAACTTAAGGTTGTTCTGTCTGGACATCAGGTTAAAATAAACCATAAAATACTTCTAATCCTAATCTCATTTGGGCTGACTTTTCAGGATTAGTCCACATTACATACCGTCACTATCACTATTGTACTATTGTGGTAATGAGATAGCGATTGTACAACACTTATTCTAATCCAGCGAACAAGTCAATCATATGAAAATCGCACTATTGTACTATTGTGGTAATGAGATAGCGATTGTACGACACTTATTCTAATCCAGCGAACAAGTCCATCATATGAAAATCGCAAGTGGCAGACAATTTAGACGTATGATCGAGCTTTGGTCATGTTCAAGAGAAAGTGTTTTAGAAAACGTTGATAAATTTTACAAGAAAGTAATGTTATAAGCTAAAAGCAAATAAAAGTAGTTGAAAACCCGAGTAGGTGGGGGCGTCCGTTTTTGGTAAGGAATTAACAGAAGAAGTGACCAAATATAATTATTAGAAGTAAATTACAAGCTTTAATAATTTTTAAAAGTATGATTAGCAGAAAATGAGGGCTCAATTACTCCTCTTTGTTAATAATTCAATCGTGATTTCCATTAATGTCTGAACATATTTGATTCTTCTTCTTTAAATATTCATTAGAAGATTCCATCTTCGTACGCTTCGGATTTCAATTCGAGTCTCCGGGTTTTGAGTTTTTGTTTCGATCCTCAATCCGCACCCAAAATTCTTCAAATGGATTCTCTCCTTTTCTGTTTTTGCCGATTCCCGGTATCTCCACCATGGTTTCAATCTCTTTCACTGGGGTTTTTGTGCTCAATTCCACAATAAAACAGTCACCATCCGATATCGTCAACCACCAGTCGATTCACTTTAGTAAGCTCCCACTTCCCTGCAAATTAATTCAAGATTTTAACCTCTTTTTTCCTTTCTTCATTTGGATTCGAGAGTTTTCTTGATATGATTCATCATGGGGATCGAATTCCGTTCTGTTTTGGCGTGAATGGGATTGGACTTCCTTCCGAGGTTGAAGCTGCTGAAGTTGCCTCGATTTTAGTTGGTAGTTGAACACACTGTTGAATTGCTCAAACTGATTTCATTTCGAAATTTGAGTTTCGATTGGTGCGGAAAGGAGTTTTTGAGTTGAGGATATTTGGAGAATGATGTCTTCTGGAATAAACTTGGTGATGACTGTGATTGGATTCACTGTGAGCACTTTGTTCATCGTGTTCGTCTGCACAAGGCTTGTTTGTGCTCGGATTCATCTCAATGCTTCAAGGCGCTCCTTCCCAATCGCTTCTAGATCCGATCTCAGTGGGGTGAGCATGTTTTTTTCTTGTTTAATTCGCTTCCAGATTTGATGTGGATATATCTATTTTGATTTTGTTCTAGCTAGTTAATTTTTGTTCTTGTTGGTCGCTAATTTCCCTTGGAACTCGTCTCCCTTTTTGTTACTCTTTCTAGGCTTAATTTCTGTATGTTAATTCATATGCCATAGATTTATCACTGGAAACTGGATATGATTGCCTCTCTGCATTATAGTTAAAGTGCCATCACTTCAATACTTGCTTTTCTGCCATTTTCATGTAGTTTCAGGATTCATTTCATGCTGTGGTTTTACTTCGTTTCGATTTCGCCCCCTTTTTTCGCTCTCTTTTCGGTCTGCCGGGGCCTATTTCATGTATTTGGATATGGTGTTGTTTGGTTATCTCTCTTACATAGTTCTGCTAATACGTTTTTTGTGAAACTACAGATCTCCACAATGGTACGATGTTGTCCACTTTGAGCATAAGCTCTTTTACTTTTGCTTTTGGTTTCCCCAAAAGGTCTCGTACTAGTGAAGATGTATTCCTAATCATCCTCTTAATTAGCCTACATGGGACTACTCCTTTCAATAATCCTCAACAATTCTTCCTCGAACAAAGTACACCGTAGAGCCTCCCTTGAGGTCTATCATATGGAGCTCTCGAACAACCTATCCTTAATTGAGGCTCGACTCCTTCTCTAGAGCCATCAAACAAACTACATTCTTGAGTCACTTTTTTGTTCGACACTTAAAGATTTGATTGACATGGCTAAGTTAAGGGCATGACTCTGATACCATGTTAGAAACCACGAACCTCCATAATGATATGATATTGTCCACTTTGAGCATAAGCTCTCGTAACTTTGCTTTTGGTTTCTCCAAAAGGCCTCATACTAATGAAGATGTATTCCTTACTTATAAACTCATGACATCCTCTTAATTAGCCAACGTGGACCTACTTCTATCAGTAATTCTCAACAATTTTTAAGATAGTCTTTTTGCATTGTCGTGGATTGGGAGGTTATACAGAAACAAAAAGGGTCTTTGAAAAAACTCAATTCTTGTTTGTTCTCATAGGCAGTGGTTGTGCATTCATATTTCACAATTCACATTTCTACTCCTTTTTCTTTTTAATATACTACTTTTAGACTTTGTTCAGGCTTTAGGTTGATTCGTTTATGGATATTTCTTTATTTACACGTCGAACTTCTTTGTTGCAGCTGGAACGGGGATTACACGGTCTAGAGCCTTTGGTTGTAGCCAACTTTCCAACTAAGAAATACAGTGATGAATACTTCTCATCCATGAGAAATTCTCAGTATGTGCCCCCTTCAATTCAGTTTCTCATTTCATTGGTTTTCATGATTTTTCAAGAAATTCCCTATCATTTTAATGAAAAGCTTAATGACTTTACCAATGAAAGGAGAGAGACATGTGACTGCATGCTTTACCTATGGGAAAATGATGAGCTTGCAATGAGTTGGACTTGTAGTTGATTGGTTTTCCCATAAGTTACTAGAAATCGTGACTTTTTTATGAGACGTTTTGGTAAGTTGGCTTCAAACATAGTCCTAATCAGCCTGGGCCCTTAGCAATAGATGTCGATAGAGGCGTTATTCGTTAAAATCTCATATGGCTTGGAACAAACGATAACTTGTTATGGACATGATTCAATCATGCTCCATTAGTTTCACTCTACCTTGGAGCTTTCTGAAGATATTCTTATACAATATTGAGTTCCCTTAGCTTGAGTATACCTTAAGTGTTAAGAACTTAAAAACCCTTATGCAGATCTTCTTTGCTCCCTAGCTCTCATGAAACAACCTTTGCTTGCAGTATTTTGAATTAACTCGAGCTCGAGCTCCCTATTCTGGTTGCATTATGTTTAAAGAAACAATACATGACCAAGGGAGAACTCGAACTCCCTATTCTTTCCATTACCAGAATCCCAAATGATCAAACGATGTCTGCTCCCCTCTTGTTAACAAGCAACTGAACTAAATGAGCCCAACTCTTAAGTTCATTACAGAAGTGCTCTCCCACACTCACAGATCAAGCCTTACTACGACTTCTTCAGCCCTTCTCCTTCCATACAATTCCACTCTAGGAGGAATATTGAATCTATTGAGCTAGGTTTCAAAAGTATGCGACACCATCTTGATCATCTATGTGATCCCAGACTGATTGGTTGTAATGGCCTAATTCTACTACTAGCAGATATTGTCTTTTTTGGGCTTTCCCTCCAGGTTTTTAAAACGCGTCTGCTAGAGAGAGGTTTCCGCACCCTTATAAAAAAATGTTTCGTTCTCCTCCCCAACCGATGTGGGATCTCACCTTGGTGATGTTAGAGAAGTGGCAGATATCATGAAATGTATGCAGGGCCGTGGATGCTATTCAAGAATTCTTCTTATAAATGGGGAGAAGTTTCTATAGAGCACCATTCCTAAATGTCTCTCTCTCTCGTAGACTCGTACTTAAATAACACAAATGGTTTCTGCTGTGCGTGACTTTGTTGTGATTCCTTAGCGGAAAAAAAGACGATATGGTATTTTGATCTGAGGAAACAAGGTGGATTTCCGAATCTAGTCCAAAAAGTGATGATATTTAAGATTGTGATTACAATTCCTTTTGGTTTTATGTGATGCTACATTCACGTTTGTTTAGCAAATCATGGAACAACACAACACAGCCAAATTAGATTCTGTTTTGAATGGCAGATGCACAGTTTGCTTGGCAGACTATCATAGTGAAGATTTATTGCGCATTCTTCCCAACTGTGGACACTCCTTCCATGTGAACTGCATAGACATATGGCTGCATCAGAACCTAACATGCCCGGTTTGTCGTATATCGTTACGTGACGTCCCAGACAAGAAACGAACGATGCAACCCTTGTTTAGTTCAGCAATTCGCTCCCATTACAACCTCAACTCAGATGCCTATGCTCATCCCTGCCACGAGTTCCCATTACGAGACCTCGAAAACAGTGGGTTGGATCAACCAATCCAAGAGAACCGCCGCTCACCTAGGACCAATGGAGCAGCAGAACACCTTGAGAACACGTCCTCGTTCATCGTCAAAGGTAACCAGAATAGTAAAAATGTAGAAAGCCCATCAAATGCTTGAACTTCCCTTAACTATGTGCTTAGAAAGATTGTCTGTCCTGTTGTTTACCATTGTGTATAAGTGCAGTTTGTAGTGAATTATTAGTTCATCTCTCTCTCTCTTATATTTGAACCAATGCATGCTGAGACGAGGCTTTTAAGTGTTCAGCTAAATTGTAGGATCAGAATCTATAATTCTGCAGGCTGCTGTTATTGTGTTTTGGAGTTTTCATGTAGTTTTCTGTGGGCTATTTAGGGCAGAACTTGACCCAAATTCTCTCTCTCTCTCTCTCTCTCTCTCTCTCCACCTTCAGCTGTTGCATTAAATATGGATCCAGCTTTTGGCACCATCTTGTGGATTACAGTTGACCCTCACATGCCTTTATTATAAGCACTTACATGATAAGTTTAGATTCAAGTTGACTGTTAGCCGATTTGATATTTGATAGAACATTTATTTTTTGGGTTTTCTTTCAAGGTTTTTGAAATGTATTTATTAGGAGAAGTTTTTATACCTTTATAAATAATGTTTTGTTCGACTTATTCTCTAATCTACAGGGATCTCATTCATTTATAACTTTATGTGGTGGATGGTACCTTCAAAATTGTTTCTTTTTCAGGTCAGCTTCAAGTGGTTGACGGTTGGGTAAATTCAAATTCCTTTTTATGGGGTTGGAGTAAGAATATAAGGGAAATGGGTCATTTTCCAATTTTAGAAAAAGGAGAGCTTTTAGTTCTGTCTCTCTTTTGGTCAACTCATTCGTCAGCCCATATATATTAAATTTAAGATTAAATTAATAAAAATACTCTGTTCCATTTTATGGTTAGTTCGGGATAAAAACCTTAATATTTTGTTTAAAAAATACTGACTTTGTTTTTTAAATATAGTAAAATGCATTTTTAAAGTGGTATTAATAATAAATCTTTTTAAAAATTTAAAAGTATTTTTGAAACAAGGGATATTTTTGAAACAAAATAGTGTATTTTTAGATTTTTTTAAAAAACTAAAGGGTATTATAGGGATGATAAATGAAATAGGTAGTGGAGATAGAGACGAGGATTGACTCGTGACATCTAAAAATAGTCGATATATTAGATTTAAATTAAATTAATTCGACACAAAATTAATGATTTATAATATTACATCATTAAAATTATTTTAAAGACTAAATAGGTAAAACTTAAAATTTAAAATTTAATTCGATTAAGATATAACAATTAAAATAAGACAAATAAAACAAAATAGAAAATAGAAAATAGAAGATATAATATGGTAATCTGCAAAAATAGATTATGAAAAGGAAAATATATTAACTCAATAATTTGCATTACAAAGAAACGTAGCCATTAGGACATCTTCTTCTTCTTCAAGCTCTGGTTCTGGCAATGGCTCTGATAGGATTCTTCATCACAACTGTAAACTCATACTTCTTCGTAAAATCCAATTCACTGTTCGGTGGATACGAACTCCATTCGAATTCCTGAACCAATCTCGCCAGCATCAGATGAACGTGAATCGTCGCCATTCCCAATCCAGGGCAAATTCTCCTCCCAACTCCGAACGGAATCATCTTCAGTCCTTTACTACCCGTCATATCTGCATCTTCCTTCCCGGAGACGAATCTCTCTGGATCGAATTTCTCCGGATTCTTCCATACTTCCGGATCGTTGCTGATTCCGGCCAAATAAACCTCCACGCTCGCCTCCACCGGTATGTCGTATCCGCCAAGCTTCGTCGTCTCGATCGCCGAATGTGTCAGCGAAAAGTACGTCGGCGGATGCCTTCTCAGCAGTTCCTTCACCACCGCTTGAAGATACGGCAATTTCTCAACGTCCGATTCCTCTACTTTTCTGTCGCCTACTAATTGCTTGATTTCTTCGTGTAGTTTGTTCTGGATGTTAGGGTTTGCGATTAGCTCTGCGATTCCCCATTCGATCGCGGTGGCGGTCGTATCCGTGCCGCCGTTGAGGAATTCGGAGCAGAGAGTGACTAATTCGGCGTCGGTTGGGGAAGATTCCCGGCCGTCGACCTTGAGATTGAAGAGCGTATCGAGGTACGAAAATGAAGTAGCGCTAATGTCCGAACCTGGATTTTGAAGTGCTTTTCTCCTTCGATTGATGAACTGTACGACGAATTCGATCTGCTCTGTTCTTACTTCCATGGCGCGTTTCCTCTGTTTTGAGAAAAACGGCCTCAAAGTCGGGAGGAAATCGTCGATTCTCGGATCGACGGTGAGCAGCACAGTTTTAAGAACCTGATCCATTTTCTCGACGGATTCCTCGTCCATTTCTAATCCGAAGCACATCGCCAAGAGAATACAGAACACAGCGAATCGAGCGTTCTTCAACACCCAAACGACTCCACCGTTTGCATCGGCGTCGGCTCTGATGCGTCGAACGAGTTTATCCATAGCGTTCTTTCTCACATCGCGAAACTCCTGCAAGCGGCTGGGAGAGAGCATGTTCTCCACCATGTTCCGACGGAGGGAGCGCCAGAGGGAGCCATACACAGCAGCATTGACAGAGAACTTATTGCTACTGAAGACGATTCGGGTAGGGTTTTCAGCTGGGCGGCTGGCGAAAGTAGAGCCACGCTTGATTAGAGCTTCGTGAATCAGGTCGGCGCCGGACAAAATGATCATGGTGCGGTATCCCATCTGGAGAGTGAAGATTGGGCCGTAAATCTGGCGGATGTCCTCAACGTATTCGAAGAAATGCTTGCCCGAACGAGCAACCTGGAAGAGGTTTCCGACGACCGGCCAGCCACGGGGTCCCGGCGGGAGGTTGAGTCGTGGCTTAGAGGAGCGCTTTTGGATGAGGAAGAAGATGAATGCAGAGACTGCGAAGGCCATAATCGAGAAGAGAAGTCGCAGGTAGTGATCGGAGAAAGAGGACGACGCCATTGTTAAACAGAGAGACGAGAAGAATAAGAATGTTCGGATGAAGTCGGGAGGAACAATTTCAGATGGATATTTATAGGCGACCGAAGGACTAAGGAATTTTTTTCTTTTTTAATATATATGTGTGTGTGTATCTATATGCGTGTGTATATATATTGGAAAGCTCGAAGTTTTATGTTTTTTTTAGTGTATGATGAGAAAATAAATTTTTAAAAAGTATTTTAATTTATTATTTATATAACTATTTTTATTTTTTATTTTTATGTTTTTTTTATAGAAATATTCAAGGTTCTATTAGAGTCACGAGCTTGTAGTCGGTTCAACAAGAGAGAATCTTGTTGCTTACGTGCTATAGATAACTTACTGTTTTGGGAAAGTGAGAGATCTCTTTATCCGAGAAATGTTCTTTCTCTTGACCGAATAGGATCGTCCCGTTCCTATAAAATCTGTCACTAAAATACCTCTACAGAGTGATAGGGCTAAACGGAGCGATAGGAAATTAGAATCAGTAACGGGAAGTTTATAATAGAAAATAATATAAATGGTAAAGAAAGATGTGTAATATTTGGTTAAAAATGTAGGGAGGAATAATAAAATGTATTGAGACCAATTAAAAACATTTTTTAAAAAAAAATAAATATAAAAAAGGTTGTGAAAGGACAGTTAGGAAAGGGCATTAAGTAATATTCTTTTAAGAGTGAGGCAAGAGTGAAGTGATAAAAAAATGATTTATTGTTTTGTGTATAAATAGTTAGAATTAATTATAAATAATGGGGGAAAATAGTTAAATAAAGGGAGGTGGGGCATTTAATAATGCTATAAAGGATAAAGGAGGAAATGCATGCAATCTGCCCATAATTAAACTTCACCGTTTCTAACCTAATTAATTATAACCACAATTTTAACTTTTTAAAAATCCAATTAATAATTAGTTTAAAGTCTTCAAACAACAAAACAAATGATTTTGTTTCTTTTTTTTTTTCTAAAAATAGTTTCAATTATTTTGAGACATATGGTTCCAAATATAAGAGCAAATTTGGAATAATAATATTTCTAGTTGGATTTGTAGTATTTTTTAATTTAACCCTTATAAATAAATAATACTACTTTTTATTATTTTTTTTTTTGAGTGTAATATGAGAAAACTATTCAAACAAAATATGAAAATTTAGCCATCAAAACTAAATATTTTAAATTTAAATTATGCCTATTTAGTCTTTAAAAATAATTTATTAAATATAAATTCAAATTTGTCAAGGTTATATTACTAAAAAAAAGAATATAATTCAATTATATAAAAACAAATGGAAGAAGATTCAGATGAGAGATAAATGGAATAATTGAATTTAAAGTCAAATGGGTGGAAAAATGAGCTCATTTATGAAAGGGGTGGGGGAAGTTGAATTCATTAAATACCAGATTTTTTATTTTATTTTTTAAATAGAAATTTATTAAATCCAAAATTAAAATTTTAATTATTAAATAATTTTTAAAGTTGGAAGCACCGAACAGAGACAAATTTGGGACAATGAGCTTAAATTCAAAATAAAAATAAAAATAAAAATAAAAATAAAAAAGGATACTAAATAATTAAATTAGAAAAGGAGCATTCAAAATGGCAACCGTTACCCACTTTACTTTATTGGTTCACATTTTTTAGTCCCCATCTTTTAAACGTCTCATTTTCCATTTTTTCAACCCAATCATGGCCCATTCAAGATTCCATTATCGACTTTTAGATCGATAATTTAAGTCTCGTTCAATGAGTTATGATCAAATTGACAATCATCTTAATGACCCTAAACAGACTTATTTTTCATGAAAATATGAAGGAAGAATTGAATGGACGAAGTTGACACGATAAAATATACATATAAATCATTCGGTTTCCTCTCCTAGCGACGAGTACGAATTGTAAGCCATAAAGCTTCAACATAACTTTTTTTTTTCTTTTTATAGAAGGAAATTCATACTACTAAAGTTCAAAATATGTTTTGACACAAAATTCCGAAGATCAAATTTGGAGATTCAAGGATATTGGGAAGGTTACCCTCAAGCATATGAAATTGAAAAGATGGAAGGGCTCATCATCATTCGTCACGCCCCCCTCCTCCGCTCTCTCCTCCTTCCTGTGGTGTGATGATATTGTAGCCTTCTACGAACTGAACGCTTGTTCTAATCTTCATCGAACTTGATCTTCTTGGGAGCTGGTTGGACACTGCCCACCTGCAAATTATCCAGAGTCAACCCATTAGGAGACTAGACTGCAATTGTACATTCTAGAACTCAACAGAAAGCCAACAAGATCGGGCGAAGCCCCAGCAGATTGCAGCATTCAAATCATGGCACTGAAACTCGAATAAAGAAAAGTTTCACTTCGACCAATCGTATCTCATGAAGAGGGGGCCATAATAAGTTGCTTAAGTTCTTAGAAGCCATGTAAAAGCACTCAAAGCTACATAGGTTTGCAGTTTGTTCAACTCGAGAACATACCCGAATCAATGTCTACACCTGAGGTGCTCCATAATTACCCGTCTAATGTCTTCTATAATTACCCTCTTAACCATATACTTTTGATTTGGAGACATTTTTATGATTTCGTTAGGTTTAGTTTTGTTTGGCTCATATTGGACAGCCTTGTTTTCTCGCCACAAAAATATGGTTTCGTTGACGATCATAGCAAAAAAAATCAGAAATGTTTTTGTCATGGGAATTGAGTTTGACCACAGGAGCAGAAATCAGCCAATCAAACTAAGGAATGGACTCACTATCTATATTAATGTTAAAATTCCAAGGATAAGTAGAAATCAGGGGTTGGTGAATAAACATCTATCATTTTTTAAAATTAACAGCTAAAATTGAATAATCTTTGGAAAAAAAAAAAAAAGATTCTTACAATTTCTGGACACTCATAATCAATCCCAGCAGCTCTTATCCTCTTCTTTCTAGCCTGATCCCGCTTCAAGATCCTCTCTACTAACTTCTTGTGCTCGTCCAATGTCCTTTCCTGAAAAGTTATCATAGAACAAGTAAAAAGAGATGTATGTTTATGGTCTAAAAGATCATTTTCCAAGCTTAATACCTTGTTATGCTGCTTACGCTCAAGTTCAGACCAATCTAAGGGCTTGTGGCGATAGTTAAAACCTTTCCATCTGCAAATATGACAACATTTAAACGAAAAACGAAACAATGTTTTTTGAAATATTCAACAACTACGCCCCAACAAGGATTGATGCAAAAATCTAGCAGGAGAAATGTAATTGATTACTTACAGTTTGGGATGAACATGCTCAGGAGAAATTAGATGTACTTTCAGAAGGTGTTCATACAACAAATAGTTATGCATAGAATCAGCCACAATTTTTGCCACCTGTGCTCACGAAATCCAAATTCGGGGTAAACTGAAAGTGACTAAGATGACTAACATCTAGAACAATTACATGTACAAATGCCCTATAACATACCTCTGGAGATTCGAATTCAATGTATCCAAAATGCCTCGACTTCCCAGTCTGCGTATAAAAATTCAACCATGGATGAAAATACTGAGCAAGAATGTTCAATTACATGATGAATTAACTTAATACAATGCAACATTCTCCATAGGAACCAGCCTTACCTTTCTATTTCGAGCAATTCTTATTCTTTTAACTTTCCCAAACTGTCCGAAAAACCCTACAGAAAACTATAGGGGTTAAGAAGCAGCAGACAAGATAACGAGAAAATTATACTTAAAATTTCATTGAATTTAAAATGTAGGCGGCCAAACCTTCCATCTCCTTCTCGAAGAAGCCGTGGGGTATGCGACCAATGTAGAGAACAGTAGCAGTATTTTCCAGGGGCTTCTGTGCTGGTAATTTACGCCCAGGACCGCCCTCCAACGGCTAAAAACAGAGGGAAGAGAGAGGAATAAGTACATAGAACCCTAGAGAGGTTAAGAGAAAGGATGAACAAACACAAATTAACAAACATCAAAATAAAAATCCGAGTCGAAGGGATTGATGAACAGTGTGAAGAGCATACATACCAAGAAATCGGCAGATTCCTTCTTGTCCGATAAGGAAGAAGTGGCCTTACTGAGTTTCTTCTTCATAGCCTTCTTCGCCTTGGCCCCCATTGATCTAGAACAAACAAACAAACAAACAAACAAACAGCCAAAGAAAATTTCAGGAAATCCGAAGCGGAAAGTAATGATTTGAGTCAGAATTTCAAAACTGAAATAGAAAGAGGAATCGAAATTCAAGTGGAAAGTTAGGGTTTATGAAGAGTAAAACGAAGATTAGGGTTTCGAGAGAACTGACCTGAAAACACTGTAAGAGGAAGAAGAGGCGCGAAAAGAGAGAGAGCAGTGAAGTAGGAGGCGACGTATCACCAGGACGTAGGTCGAGGACTCGAGGACAGGTTAAACGCTGCGTTTTAAGCTTTGACTTGGTCTTGACCCGTTTATTAGACCATTTCATTCAATAATTACAAATAAAATAAAATAAATAAATAAATAAAATTTTAAATTGGATTCTATTTTTAAAATCGCTAATAATAAAATTTAGGTTAAATTAAAAAAAAAAAAAATCTAAAAAATTGGGAGAGTGCCAGTTGCTATATAAAGCAGTGGAAGATTCACCGGAATCTGTTCGTCTAGGGGGGGAACTGATCATTTGAAAGGCTTGCCGCCATTGGAGGTAAGTTGGATGCATGATTGCCCTACTATCTGGTTTGAACTTTGATGTTTTGAATTTCTACGCCATCTAGGTTAAGATTAGCCTCAGGAATTATACTAAGTTTTGTTTGAATCAAGTTCAGCGTTGTCTTGAATCTTAAACGTCTCCTAAATTCCTTAGTTCAAACATTCCTGGCCCCGATTCTCTCTTGATTTCTACTTTCTCAACCAGAAATTCACCAACAGAAGAACCGATGCATCTCTCTAACAAACACTACATGATCGACATAACTAAGAATCGGTAAATCAGGAATTCCATTTTCCAAACATGATTTGGGCAATAAAGCAAGAAAAAGTGGTTGTAAACTCACAGCTAGTCTAGAACGATTGTAAATCGACACCGATTCTTAATCTCTGACTAGAATGAGATGCGAAATTCCAGGCGAATTGAATAGAAGCTTGTCCGGATACAGAGGAAAAAATCCAGTCGAACCAACATCGCAGCCACCAAAAGGGAAACGGTGGGTTCGATCGGTGAATCGAGCATAGGAACTCGGAGAGAAAGCTGAGAGTGACATGGATTGGGGGAAAAAGATTGATATGAAACGAGAAGGGCTTAAAGCTTTGGGCATATTCTCATCAAACGCCATTGATTTCATTTGATCGAAGGTGGAAGATTGATTCTTAGTTTTGTTTCCCTTTTCATTTTCTGGTATCAATTCAAACTGTATACAACAGACTTCTTGCAGTAACCTCTTATTGTTTGTTCTTCATCTTTCTATTTTCACAACCATACATGATCAACACAACAACTTTCAATGAACACTCCTTCAAAAAGAACAATCTTTTGTTGTACCAAACTGAAACAAGTAAAGCTCTCTCCCCAAAAAATATGTATATAATAAGTTAAAAGAAAGGGAAAAGCTTCCCTAGATGATTCTTCATTCCACCGTTTTTCTTTTTGCAGCACATAGGGAGGCAATGGGTGGTATAAATAATTGAGCGGGGTTGAGCTTATGAATCTGCTAAGAGTTGGGAACCAGAGTTCCGATGTAACCGACCCCGGCGATGAAGAAAGCGAATGATTGAAGGAAGAGGTAGATGAAGTATCGGTTCTTCCCGAAGTTGAGATCATAGCAGCCGCAGAAGAAGAGATAGGCTCCAACACAAAGCTCAAGCAGATGGAGTCTGTTCATCCACAATCAGAAAGAAGAAGGTGATGTCGACAAATCCAGAAACTTGAACTAATTATGCTATTCTACTCACTAGAGTACATACATCACTAATGTATCTCGACATGCTTTAATTGTTCAGTTTCCATAGGACGCAAAATAGTCAGTGTTGAAGACATAAAAACCAATAAAACAACATATTTCTTATAGCTAGGAATGCATGTGAATGATATTTTAGCGATAACAGTGCAATGAGAAATCTAGTTTAATGTCATATTAGAAGTCCTTTATGAAGTGGGTTAAATTCCAAAACGTATATATACCGTTGCTTTTGCAGATTTTACCTTTCTCCAAATCTAAACCGAGGTTTCCAGGGAGCTTTGGAGCCTAGTTTAGTCTTTAGTGCATCTCCCAATTTCTCGGTGACGACCCATTCATTTACTCTCCCTGCTTCCAACAAACCAATGAATGTTGCCTTTGTTCGGTGCAGCGACATGACATTCTCGAAAAGGATCCAGAAAAAGATCAGGTGGAATGATCTGCAATTCAAGATTGTCAATCAAAACTGTAAGTATCATTGTAGAGTTTTTTATATTCATCAACTGGAGGCGATAATGCTAGACTTCTGGTTCTGAAATTAGAAAGAATTTTCCTTCACTCTTGGTTTCTAGTTCTAACAGGTAAGAAGATGACCTTGGAGTTCCAACTGCATTTAGGAGGGTGATCATAGAAGGAATGTAAACGGCACCCCATTTCGGTACCGATACTTCAGGAACCAAGACCGTAGCTGGCAAAACAACACAATAAAATACAAACGTGACAATATGGGCGACGATCTTCCGAACAAAGAAGAAGCTGTAGATCAGGTAAAGCTTTTTCCACAGGGAGACTTTCTGCAGGCACATAGAAAGCTAATGGTGAGATACATAAAGACAATCCAACAAATGAAAGCAACATATCCAAGGAACACTCAAACCATGCCTTGTTCCTCATGATTTCAACAACCATCTTTTTGAAGAGGTTCGCCGGGCCACAAGACCATCGGTGTTGCTGATATCGGTAAGCTTTGAAGGTACTAGGCAATTCATTCTTCACCTGAAACAACTCATTTACATTTACCATTGCTTAAGAACTGAAAAAACTAGCAAGATTAATCCCATTTCCCACTTATATAATCTTATGGAGTAAGAGTACTTGACCCTACAAGGGTAGGTAGTCCTGGTTATAAGGCTCTTAGATTCAAACTTGGTAGTGAAAACTTAACCATTTAAAATCTTGTTCTCTCCTAAAGAGTCCTTGATGTAAACAATGCCTCCGGAAAACTAGCGGACTTAAACTATGAGCATAATACAAAGATTTTGTAATGGCCTAATCTCATTGCTAGCGGATATTGTCTGCTTCTATCCATTACGTATCGTCGTCAGCCTCACAATTTTAAAACGCGTCTACTAGATAGAGATTTCTACACCCTCACAAAGAATGTTTTGTTCCTCTCCAACAAATATGAGATCTCACAATTCAAATGGTATCAGAGCCAGACACTAGGTGGTGTGTGAAATCCCATATTAGTTGGAGAGGGGAACAAAACATTCTTATAAGGGTGTAGAAACCTCTCCCTAGTAGACGCGTCTAAAAACCGTGAGGCTGACGATGCTACGTAACAGGTCAGGACAATATTAGCTATCAGCTAGTAGTGAGTTTGGGTAGATTTGAACGCCAAAAACCTGCCATCAATAAGTGTGATTAAAAAAAAAAAAGAAACAGTAAGTAGAAGAAGTACCTTGAGGTCTCCAACATAGACAAACTTCCAGCCTTTTAGGCTAGCTCGAACAGCCAAATCCATATCTTCTACAGTGGTTCGATCCTTCCATCCTCCAGCCTCCTTCAGTGCAGCAATTCTCCAAACACCTGCTGTGCCTGCAAGATCTATGGTTAACTTGCAGAGGTTAAAGCCATCAACAATGTCTTACAATCCCAGCTTACCATTGAACCCAAAGAAGCCATAAGTTGCAGACCCCACCTCTTGCTCCACTGTGAAATGATAATCCAATGACATCTCTTGCATTCTTGTCATTAAACATGCATCTGAGTTCACTGCAACAGTTCCAACAACCAACTTCAAAATCATCGAATCTAAACCAATTTTGTTGAGGATGGTTGGGAGGAAGTCCCATGTCGGCTAATTTAGGGAATGATCATGGATTTATAAGTAAAGAATACATCTCCATTGATATGAGGTCTCCTAGAAAAGCTCAAAAAGCTTATGCTCAAAATGGACAATATCATATGGAGATCCGCGATTCCTAACAAGTTTCACCAATCAAATCCACCTTCCTATCGTTTTTATATGAAATCAGAAACATAGAAAAGCTTACCAAACTTCCAGCGAGCTTGAACAAGAGCAATCTCAGGATTGTTCGTAAGAAATGGAATGGTACGCCAAAGAAAATCAGGCTCTGGTTGGAAATCGGCGTCAAAAATGGCGACGTAATCGCAGAGCTTAACGTAATTATGCTTCATTCCCTCTTTAAGAGCCCCTGCTTTGTACCCATTTCTGCTGTCTCTGATCTCGTACTTTATGTTTATACCTTTGCTTGCCCATCTTTTGCACTCTAATTCCACCTGATCCTGATGATTTTTTTTGTCCAAATTATCACAAACCCACATCAAAAATCCACAAAACACTGGTGGGTTTCAACCCAAATCTCAGTTCGTCACTGATTTTGATGGAAAATCTTCCAACTGGTGGAAGAACTCTGAAGAGAGAGCTTCTGTAAATGGTTTTCCATCTGAATGATCTCTTCGTTTCAATTGGATCGAAAAGGAATCAACTTGTTTCAAGAGATTATGCTTTTGAGTTAATTATTAGGACTTTATTCATTAGCGATTGGTTTTTTATTTTTAATTATTTATTTCTGCTGTTCTTTCACTTTCATAAATCTTATTTCTGTTTTTGGCTTTTGTTGACTCTTAACTGACTTGGAATTTAGATATTAATAATAAAGCCAATTTTTAAAATAAGATGTAAAAGGAAAAAAAGAACTGATTTTCCAACAATGATTCTATATTAATTAAGAATTGACTTTGGATAAGATTTATTTATTTATTTATTTTTGATGAAGAAATAAAATTGTCCTAGCGAACTTGAGATTATGGTTTAAAAAAATGTCCAAACCTTGATAGAAGGATCTGTAGAATCATCAAGAACTTGAATGATGATCCTATCAGATGGCCATGAAAGTCCACATGCTGCCCCAATAGATAATTGATAAACCTGATCCAAAAAAACACGTTCGATGCTAACTTGAGACCAGACCCAACACACAAAATGGAGAAAAAATGAAGCGAAAGGAAAGACAATCTATACTAACTCGAGACAGACCCAATGCACAAAACATGATAAAATTGGAATAATGTTCACCTCTCTTTCATTGTACATTGGAATTTGGACCAAAACCATGGGATAAACAAAATGGGTAAGCTCAAGATCATCTTGAATGGGCTCCCACTTGTAAGTGTTGTGAGGGTTTCTTGCAAAGAGCTTTAGAAAGAGAATGACAATACCCATATAAAGCCTTTCAAAGAAGAGCATTAGGGACATGGCCAGACAACCTCCCACACAAAGCTTCAACAAAGGGGCTATCACAGGGGGTGTGCTTTGCTCCCAAAAAGGCCCTATTTGGCCTCTCAAAACCACTTCCTCTCCCATTGATTAAGGAAGCCTTTCAAGAAATTTAAACCTTTTTTTCTCTCCTTCTAGCTTTTTAGAGGGAGAGAGGGAGAGAGGGAGAGAGGGAGAGATTTTGTTTATAATTATTGGGAATTTGGAAGTGTATTTATATGATGAAATTTGGTTCTAAATTTTTTTGGAAGGAAAGAGATTTCACACCCAAATTTAGTGCCATTTTTTAAAAATATTTTTCTGTTTGGGGTTTTATTTTTAATATTTTATTTATTTATTTATTTGAACCAAATTATATATTTTTTTAAAAATTAAAAAGGTAGCTTGGCCATCATTTTCAAATAAAAATTTAGTGGGAAAAATATGGGGAATGAAATGGTTAATTGTAGTTGAGAGTTGGTCTTGTATAGACATTCTAAGTAGCTAATCTTTCATTTCAAAGGCATGAATAATGGAAATTATATTTATAATTATAATTATTAAATAAAATAGTAAAAATGAAAAAAAAAAATTGTATCAAAAAGTTTTCAAACATGAGAGGGGAACAAAATATTTATTATAATGATGTGGAAATGTTATTTTAAAATTGTGAGGTTGACAGTAAATACGTAATATGCCAAAGCAAACTATATTGTTTTAAAATTATGAGGTTGATAGTGAATACGTAATAGGTCAAAGCAAACTATATCTATTAGCGGTGAGTATAAGTTGTTACATATGGTATCAGAATTATATATGTTACAAGTGGATTGTGGGATCCATATAAAATAATATATTATTACAAACTTTTTCGTCTCTTAATTTTTTTTTGTAAATTTAAAAATATTAAAAAATTGAAAGAGTATAATATATAAAATAAAGTTCACACGGGTTAGTCTTGAACATTAAAAAGTTTAGATCTTCTTATTTAATTTTTGAAGTAGTTAAAGGAAGACATCTACTAACTAACTAACAAAAAAAAAAAAAAAAAAAAAAAAAAAAAAAAAAAAAAAAAAAAAAAAAAAAAAA